TGCTAGAGACATGATCTTACCACCATTCGACGCGTCTCGTCGAGGCGAATCCAATAATATATGGCTCGACTTTGTACGATCACTAGATAGACGGCTATTCGATTTTTCGCATTTTTATAAAAATCAGATAAAACCGAACTGAACCGCCGGTTTTTCGGTTCAGTTCTTACGGATTTCGGCTCTAATCTGAACCATCTATAATCTGGACCAAACCGACCCATTCGGAGCTTTAGCTCTAGTAATGTCTTTCTGAAAGGAATCTGCTTTAATATGAAAAAAAAATCAGAAAAAATCAACATTTTATTATTGTAAATTTTTTGTTTAAAAGGTAAACCTTAGAAGACACTTACCAGTAGAAGTAATTGCAATAACAGCAATAATGCTGATATTTTTTTCTTTCATAGGTTTATATCTATCTTGAAAATATTTTATAAACTTACATTAACGTTTCATAATTATACCTCCAAGGTTTTCAATATCTGCTTCAATAGTTAAATATACTTTTATCAATATTAACTTGCCAAAGATTTATTATATTAGAATCTTCAAACATTCCTTTATAAAAGATAAGCCTCTCAAGTTGTTCAACTTTAAATTCCTCAAGTGGAATTTTCTTACCATCAATTTTAAAGAATTTCTTATTATTATTATTGTTATTTTTCATTTTTGTAAACTTCAATCTGAAAAATGTAACTATTATCTAAATGTAAACAATTGTATGATTCAACTATTTCAATCATATTTTTGTATTGATAAAAAGATATTTTAATTTTTAATATAAAAAGTTTTAAGAAACTAAATTAAAAGTATATACTATATATATTTTTTAAATACATTACAATTTACAACATAGACTTTTACATAAATTTTTTGTGATTTGTAATGACATAATATAGCAAATAATATAGATACTTTAATAAAAATTAATAAATATAGTAATTTATTAGTAAGGTTGCTTGTCTAAACCTCTTCAAAATCCTACGATTAGTTTTGTCAAAATTTTACTATAGATTTATTATAGTTTTGTCAGAGTTTTAGCAGTTTCTGCATTTATAATAAGTTTTGGCAGTTTCGCCTTTCTCCAAAGTTTCGCCAGTTTTTTAATATAACTTTAATATAGTTTCAGCAGAATTTCGCTTTTTGGCGAAACGCCATCTTGCCTAAACCCCTAGATTTCAGCAAGCAACCTTATTTATTAGTATATAAAAAAATGATTAATATTATTTTATCATGACTCATTAGATTTTAGTTCTACTAATATGCTAATAAATTTTTAAAAAAACATTTTATTAAAAAATAAATAAATTAATATTATGTAATTAGTATAGTTTTTTTTTAAGCAATTATTTTACTAACGATAATTAATCAATCATAGTATTATTAATCAAAATATGCATAATTATATATGATAAATATATTCTTTTCTTAAAACATAAAAACAAATTATTAAAATATTTTTAGAGTATTTGCAAGAAAATAATTTCAAAGTTTGAAAACTAATATTTTTTTATTATTTTTATAGATTTCTGAAAATCTAATTAATACATATTATAAAAGTATTAACAAAATTTCCAGCAAGTCATCATTAAAGTTATAATATTACTTTATTTCTAGTATACATGTAGCCAAAACCTCTATGAAGCTGGACAGGGTTTCAGACTTTCAGTAATTTAATTCGTAATCCGCCTCAGAACCAGTGAAAGGTACTAATATATATCGGGGAACTATTATAGAGATTAATTATTTCTTAAATAATTTTTTCGTGCAAATTTATCAAAATTTTTTTAAATAAAAATGTTTGAAATGTTTAAAAAATATAATAAAATTTTAATATAGTCTTTGTAACTG